GACAGGATTATATCTGATAAGACGTAACGAATTTGGCAGTGAGGAAAGGAAATTTAGAACAGAAAAGTTGGTAGATTTGCTTGATTTTTATGATAGTTGTATTTGAGTAACAATCGTTCAGTGAGATTGATACACCTACTATGTATTCGCATCCAGAATTATGCAACGGCGACATGAAATTAGATCCCCGCCTCCTTAAGCGAACGCAACCGCACACCTTTGTTCCCGCGAGGCTGTTGGTCATCGCCTTTTTCCCCCGTTCCTCGTGACCCGAAACAGATCCACGATAGCGTAATAGTTGGAACGATTGTTTCCGTACAACCGACTAGTCGCTTTGTTTCCTTCCAATTCGTGTCACGGACTTTTCCCTTTAATCTTGTTCGAGTTCTTCAGAGAAATTCTTAAGATTGAAGAATCCAATGAGAAATAATCATATCTAATCGTGTTTAATATATTATTCGATTATAAAGCATTTAAAGATTTTCTTTTATAAATTTTTCTGCAATTTATTTTGCAACGATGAAGGTTTGTCACTGTTCTTCAAATTTATGGATGGAATAAACTACAAGATTGTGGAGAGCATGCAGAATAATTCAATGTTCTCTGAAACGGGCATGAAAGCTCTTATACTATAAAATATTGTGAAAAACGAAGTATTTGAACTCTGTGTGATAATCCTTAGCGTGTTTCATTCATAAATATATCTGAGCCCGCAGAATCGTCAAGTTCCGTTTACCCGCATGACGGATGTCGAAAGGCAAAATCGATATCGTTTCGACATAGCTAGTACTTATACACATTTTCTGTACGATCGTTTCGAAACAATCCAATCACGACCGATTGAGAATCGCAGCAACAACGTTTCGAAAAGGATGATCGATGGGTCCTTTCGACGCGCGTATGAACAAGACGGCTGCGTCATCCGAATCATCCGGATTTCATTCTCGATTACGTTTTCTCGTCGCCGCGTCGTCGGTGAAATTACTGTCACTCGAAAATGTTTAAACATCACGCGGTTTCATGTGTTACTAGTGTATTCCGATTCCGAATTTTTGTCAGGGAAACTCGTCAGGTATTTAATATAACTCATTAATTCAGTCCAATAGTACTGTACATCAAACATGTCAAACTCGTTAACCACCGAGGACCATATTAAGGTGATAGACTCCGATGACAGCGCGATAAGGCAGACTGTCAATGTTATCCACAAAATTAGCCAAAAATATGGGTTTACGGGACCACACTTTTTGTCCTTATATGAGAATATTTCTTGGTCGTCAGGTACCTCTTCAGACAGAGGAAAGTCAAATCTGACGCTCTCTGGTCATTATTTTACTGACTATCATAACGTCAAGTGACTACCCTAATTCCCTAAATATTATATGTATATTAAAACGCGGTTCGTAAAATAAAGACAACATGGAAATAAAGATGAAACATAGTTTTTATTATAAACAAATCAATACATACAAAATAATAATACACAGAATATAAGCATTTCTTTTTGAAGAAACTTGGAAACGTTTTTCATTGATCACATCTTCAAAATTTGGTTGAATTTGTTGAGTTTTAGCTATTTTTAAAATTGCTTGCACATGCTTGTCTGCTAATCTTGATCTTTCCGCAGTTTTATTTTTTTTTTAAGTGTAAAATAATTGTTCACAGAAATATGTGCTACCGGACATAGAGCCAGTGTTGTCAAAAGTTAAATTAACATATTGGTTATCAATCTTGGCGGGCCGCGTGTTTGACATGCCTGTTATCCACGATAGTTCACCAGATATTATCACCTCAATTTTCGTCATTACTCTTATACGTAACAAAAAGAATGTTTATATATATAACGTTGAATATTTTTGAAAAAATCACATTCTGGTGGTACTGGTTTCAAAACCATTCATAAACCTTCTTTGCTATGTGTAACAATAACGTGAAAAATGGGGTGGTAATATCTGGTGAACCACCCGCTATATCACATAAATCACACTATCATGTGTTATATCATAAGAGAAAACAAACTTACTATATTTATGACTATATGCTTGTGTTCTGAAGTATCTGTCCATTGATTCATAATTGCATAACAGGGAATGTTCTATTAACGGTTAGAGGAGAACGTATTTAGGAATAGAAATAATTGTTTAAGAACAATGAACAGGTCAGGTCGTTTACTACCGTTTTAAGAGCCGGCAAGCTGATAAAGGGTTGCGCGCCGTTTTACCAGTCGTATTTCACGTTACGAGCGCGTTAATGACGACTGCTGCCAAAACATAGCAGGTGCGTGAATCGACGGTAACTCGCGGTCTCAATCGGCTGCGAGTAGGTAAGCGAGCGTTTGCGCGTGGAAATCGTAATTCTTCGGCTCTGCACGCGGTTCTCTCAGTTTATTTCTTCGACGACGATGAATCGGAAACTTGATGTTGTCCCAGCTGCGTTTACGTTTGATACTGTAAGTCACTGAACGACAAAAATTCTATAATATTATTCTAACAATCTGGCTTCAAAGGAACGTCCTTCGATCCTTTAGAAAAACTGATTTTTAAGATCAATTTCTGGGAATATTCTGATTGTTACAATAAATGTTACGCGAAAGCCTCTTCGCAGAGGCGTCGATTTTCCTCAAATTCACAGAATTCTTGATTTGGTTCGTCACCAGGCACGGACACGGTGACTCACGCAAACCGATCACGCGCAGTTCTAACTTTTAACTAGATTTCCAATCGAATATCCTGATTTGTTAAAACTTAACGTTATTTCTTCCGTTTGAATTCCATTCGATCCTGAAACATTTGATGAATTCCATGAGTCACTGCATTCCTCGTGTAAACTTAACCCTGTTCATCTTCTCACTGAAGGATTCGCACTTATTTTCGCTATCGCGACTCATCGAGAGATGGACCAACGAAAAATGTAGAACTCGAAAGATCGGCTCGAATCGTTTCCACTGAAAATCGCGCTCGGCTCGGCTCGGCTCGACTCTGCACAGCCGCTTTCGCAACCGGCTGGCAACTCACGCACACACAGACGAGCCCGCGATTCGCGCAGCGCTTAGATCGTTGCACCGCGAGTATCCACGCGGTCGGTACACCTAATCGAACCCGTGTGTGCGTGCAGAGCTCGCGCACACGGACAAACCCAGAACGTCTGCCCACACGAGATATCTGCTTATGTACAGTGGGTACCGTGACGCGATGTGCGCACAATCGTAGGTCGTAGGACGTAGACACTCACGCAACGAGCACGGGTACAAGCGCGCGCGAGAGAGCCCGGTAACCAGCGCACGTACGCGCGCGCGCGCGTGTGTACTACACCGGAACGGAGGAGCTGAGAGTGACTAACCTCTGCGAATAGAAGATGGACGGTTCCTGGAGGAAGGCAGTGGTAATCCTGGACAGCTGATCCTCGTTAACAGAACAATGCCGATCCGATTAGGTCTTCTGCTCCGGTCACGAGACGGTCGAACAGGGAGAACGCGCGCGCCGCGACATGCTGCCTCGCCGCAACGAATGTCACAATGGAAAACGGCGTGCAACTGTTTCGAATTCTAGATATATCGAAGCACGCCTGTACACGAGATTCCTTGAGAAATCGGCGTGCGTCCGGGTCACGCGGAGCTGCCGGAGGAACCCGGACACGCACCGTGTGTCGGGAGAACGGGACGTACACGCTAACAGATGTTGACGTCTCACCAGCAGCCACGCTACCCTTTTGCACACGGATTCAACACTCTCACTCACGAGGACACGTATCTATGTCCCGACGTATCTTGCACACGATCGTGGTTTTCGTTCTGGCGCACTCCGATGCGGCACACTGTTCTCTAGCGTCGAGGCACACGTTCACGATCGGTTCTCGTACGGGCTTAATTCGCTATCCGCTTAAAAGGCACACAGACATACTTTTATGGTTGAGAAAACAGCGTTCACGTTGACTCGCGCGATTTATTCAATAACCACGACGACGGCGACGGTGTACAGTTAGAAGAGGCACGCGGAGCACTGAACAGCGGAGACAGAGAACTCGTAGAAACGATGTCGGCAAATTGCACACGGTTCACGCGACGGATGATACGATGTCTATCCCGAGTGGATCTACCGCTGGGATCGATGCCGGAGCAACGTGGATCCAGCTGTTCGCGTACGTTCTCCGGGACGGTGTCACGCGGCCGTAAACCGTATTGCTCGCCGGCGATCGTACGACTGTACGCGTGTTGGAGGTGGAGGAAGGAGGCGATGGAGGCAGCGGTTAGGTAGTGGCGGATGGTTAAGGTGGGGTACGAGGAGAACCTTCTTCGTGTTCCTCTTCGAGGCTACTACCTTGGTGCACCTTCGGCTGCTGCTCCTACCGCTCGAATCCTCGAATTCTCCTGCCTCCCGGGAACGACGGGGAATTTTGTTTTTCTCCCCGAAGCCGGATGTAGAGATAGGCCCCGTCGGCCGCGGATTTACTCCTCGAATTTCTTTTACCTTCCGGCGGTGTTGTCGGGAAACTCGAGAAAAACGGCTTCCTGAGGAAATTGCGCGCGCCTTCCAACCTTTTTCAGTCGAGTCGGACTCGAGCAACATCAAATCGACTGGTCGCCAATGCCACTAACTAGGAATCTCTTCGCTCGATGATGATACATCGAAGTCATGAGGTGTCGCAACGCGTTATTAAACGACCGCGGTTCGACTCATAGTCTGGAGAACGGAGAACAAAGATCGGAGGACAGGACTCGATCCGAGAACGGAAAGGTTCGTAATAAAATTCGAGCACGGTCGGCAATGGTCGCCGCGACGATGGAAACGGCGCACCGCGACGGACGTTGACAAGGCAAGGCAAGGCAGGCACTGCTGGCGCAACGTCTTACGGTCTTACGGTGGCCGCGGTGCGCTCTATGGCGTGCATCATGGTGGACTCGAAGCGGTATACCTTGCCGGGGCTTCGGAACGCCGACGAAAGGGGGTAGAGAGTCAGCGAGGAGGATAAACGCAACGAAACGGACAGAGAGGATCGTGAGCGAGTACAACGAGCCGGGAGAATATATACTAGGTAGGTAGGTAGGTATGTATTTCGCCTCGGGCGACTCCAGGTATAGCGGTACTCTCGGGCCCCTTCCCGCGCCCTCGCCTGGGCCCCCTTCCCTGTACACCTTGCCACCACCTCTTCGCGGTGTACCCCCTGGCCGTCTCTTCGCGTCTCTTCGCCACCACCACCTGCCCAAGCATCCTCCTCCACCTCTTCTATACTTGATCAAAAGGATATAGCGAGGCTAGGCCGGATCAAACTGGCATCAAAGATGTCGCTTACAAAGCATACACAATGATATCCTTGACTGACTACTGTCTTAAGGCAAATCGCCTTTACAGCGTGGAACCACAAATAGACAGATTCTATTTAACAAAAAGTTCCAGTCTCGTCCAAGCCTTCGTTCCAGACTTACTACCTGAATATAATATGGACACGGAAGGTTTTGAATTACCACACGATTTTTGGGACAATGGATTTATTCAATTTTATACAATTTGGTATTAATTTCGTCTTTCAAGAGCTATTCTTCTTCGTCGATAGTTCATGCTCTTCGAAAATGATTGTTCTGCTTGCAATTTAATTTAACACAAAGGAAGGAGAGTGAGAGAGGGATAAGGATATATTTGCTGCACGGACTGTACCTCTCGACTGTCCTGGTACCTCTGGTTTGCTATCTCCTCCGACGGTTCCCCGTGTCCCTGCGTGTGTACACGTTCACGATGCCGCTGCTGCACGTGTCGCGCTCGATCACGATCTGTATACCAGCGTCCCGTGTGTTGGTGCGCGTTTCCTCCTCTTTCTCTCTCTCTGCCTGTAGGCGTGTAGGTATGAACGGGTCGAACACCGACGTACGGTCTGCGGTCTACCGCTCGAACGCAGCGTGCACGGACTGCAGGATCTCTCAAGGACGTAGGCCGTGAGCTTTTCGGGCCTCGCTCGACCTACTGCTGGCGCGAGCGCGAGGCGGAGACTTCGACGAGCGCATAAGAAGGGTCCCTGCCCTCTGCGGTTTCAACGCCGTTTCATTTGTTCGCTCGCGGTCGATTCAACTCGGCTCGAGTTCCGTTTCTGAACCCCTGCGGTGATTTCGCGATCGGCCAAGGTGCTGAATAACTTTTAGGAAAGCTTAGACACGTTCTCATCGTATCCAGTTTGCATACACTTAACGCTGTTGAATATTCAAACCAAGGATTAATCCTGTAGATTAGAGGAAATAAGAATAGCTTATTTTATGGTGTATTCAAAGAAACGTGTTGAGAATGTATTGTTAGAAAGTAAAGAATTTCATCGTGCGATCTAACATGCAATACTATGCATTGCTTTTTCTTAGATTATTATTGCATGTATTCAAATGTTCTCCCTAAGGAAGTAGCAATATTTGAAACGCAAAGTTGGATCTATAAAACTGTGTAACCAAGATGTAGATATGTTTTTAATTTCGTTCATCCTGAATATTATCATATAAATTAATCAAGAGTGAATAAATAATCGTTCACGCTGAACTAAAAAGATCTTGATAACTTCTCTGGAGCTGTTGAAGATCGAGGTTCGGTCGTACCCAATAAGTCCATCAGGATCGTCATCGTGGCGATTAGGTATAAAGAGGCAAAATCACTTGTAACCGGCGTTTCCCGTAATAAAAATACCAGCCAATCCTGACTAATAACCGTGATGGTGAAAAATGTCGGCGCATCTCGCGTATGCAAGTAAGGGGGAAAGAAACGGGTAGTGCCGGGTTCTAGCCAACAAAAAGGAAGAAAGATAGGAACAGCCGGGGTGGCTGATCGATGATGTCAGAGAGTGGAGAGGATGCGCCGCGTTTATCGACGCGTGTGCACGTGCGGCCTGCGCTGGTATTCCGCAATTAAACCGGCAGCTTTTTACTTGGTAGCACGTGCACACGCGAGCAGCGACACGAAAAGGGACAAAAGAAAAGGGATACCACCTTGTTGCGCTCGCGGAACAGTTTCGCGATAAATGATAACCGCTTTAAATACCAGTTTAGCGCGTGTACCTACCGGCTCCGCGGCGTGGAAAGGCTCGCCCCGAGTCATGGAATCCCCCTTCCGACGACCTTCTCCTTTTTCGCCGATTTATCAACGGTCGCGCCCTGGAACGCGATTTCTGTTTGCCGGTTCGCCGTGAAATCGCGCGTGTCACGCGTGAACGTCGCTTATGTTTTATGGCTCCTCCACTTGCGTTTCCATGGAAGCGTTAAGAGGTTAAACTCAAAGAGCAAAAGGTAGAACCTGGGAACTGCATTATGCTTTATGTTCGAAATTTTATCATTTCTATTTTGAATACAGTACTTGACAAAAAGCTGCAGCAACCGTTTCGTTTATTGTGATTAAATCATTCTGAAAGAAATGTCACAGATCTTTCAACTGAGACCTCGAAAGCAATACAGTTAGATGTACGTAGAAGCGAACGCGTTCACCAATAAAATAACGGCGATAAAGCGTTCGTTTGCGTTCGATTAAGACCTTCCCGCGACAAGCAAAACGAGAAACGCGTGGTAAAGGAGCAAAGGAAGTCGGATACCACCGCACTAGTGGCGATAGATAAAACCGAAGACGGATACTAGGTTCGTTCTAATCGGCGACGACTTATGAGCGTCGTCACGCTGCACTGTTTCATTCCGCCTGGTGTATAACGCGGATTCGGTATCACGTACGGGAGGATGGGGTTTCAGTGGTGAAAACTGGTACCACCTCTCGACCGAGTTTACGGGCTATTATTCCCGATAAATCGTCACCGTTGATTGTTAAACGCCTTGCCGCGAAATTCAACCACGGCTAATTGCTATGATTTATTACACTTTGACTCAACGCAGCTGACATTGACCCTGCTGATATTTGTTACCTTTCTTTAATCGGCTTTTAACAGTTAGTTTCCTACCTAGAAGTCGAGTTCTAGTCTCTTTTTTTTATAGATTGTAGTTTATAACAGTGAAACCATCTAATCATTCCAATCTTCTTATCATAACGCTACGTAATTTTCGTTTCGTTATAAATTTAATTATTCTGTGTAAGAAAATATTTATTTGAAAATATGTTCCACATTTAAATCCATCAAAATTTGAGACACGTCAGCTCGTGAGTTTCTTTCCTGTGGAAAATGATATGAAATAGTTATAATCGTATCAATAAATAACTGTTTATGGCAGGTTAGAAAACTTCCAATTTTTATTTCTAACCACTTAGATAGATGCGATAGAGCAATTAATAATCGAGTGTAGCCGTGGAAGAAGTTGAGCGATGAGACGGAAAAAGCGATGACGGAGTAATTAGCTGAAAGGACTATTAATCGTGTCCATTAAGCGGGTCGAGTAAAACTCTGAGCATCGAGGGTCCGAAACGTGGCCATCGACACGCTCCAACGAGAAACCGGTGTTCCGTTGTCGACGATTTTTGCCGAAGATCGTCGGATAATATTCGTAAGGTCCGAGTGACTTGCGAACATTACGTTTCAAGGTTTTTCTGGCTATCTGCTTGATTTCTTTCTTTGTTAGCGGTCCGGAGCTAAGACGAACAGGATGTGGATATTCTTAATAACGTTAACGGTGTTCGAGTATCCCTTTATGGACATTAGCCCGGTTACACTAATATCGGTCAGTGTAGAAATGAAACTCTCGTAGTTCGTTAGAGAAAATATAAATAATAAAACTAACGCGCGATTTTACAAAACGTAATGCAAACATTCCAAAGGTAATTGAATACTTTATTCTCTTTTAATTTCGACAGGCATCGTTTCTAATTATCCTTCGATGTTAACTAACGAGACAAAAAGCAGTTTAATAATAATTGAACTACCCGGACATCAATCTCTTAATAATTACAAGAACTTTCACACTAATCTCGACTACTGTAAACTTTGGCTTCGCGGTTAATCCATAATAATTAATTCGCGCGTCTCGTACTATTTTCTTAACGGAGGCCTGCCAGGAAAAATCCGGCCGAAGATGACTTCCCAGTGGTTTGCGTAGTGTAGGTACTAATCAAACAAGTTAACGAGGAGAGTGATCGAGTGAAAATTCATCGGGTGAAATCCGTCAGAGGGGGATCGCTCGCTGGCGATGACCCGATCCGCTGAAAACAGGTGAACACGTTGTACAGATCGTATCGCGGTGCACGTGGCCGACCGAGGAGCGCGATCATTTATAAACGCGACACGCTCTTCCGTTATGATCGCGCGTACACGCGTAAGCGGCTCGTTATTTTAATGCAATTAGGTTCAAAGGGTTTTGCAAAACGAACAAGCCACGTATAGGCTGGACATACAAGTATGTGTGTATTACACGTGTGTATGTGCATATAAGCGTCGTACGCGTTACTGGAGAACCAGTTCTCCACATGCTCCACGGGTGAATCCTTAATTGAGTACGATGTTTTTTCTTGATGGACCCTCTGGCAAATCTCATCTAACCTTTTTATATGTTACTATCTTTTAATTATTAGTCAGAAGATTTAATACCGAGGTACAGTAGCTTGCAAGTATATCCGAAATGAAACGCTTCCGATAAGTTTTGTTTGAATCTTTCACGAGGTCTCGACAATATTCAATTACCGTTCATTTGAAAATATTCACATTGCATAACCATCGGGTTAAAGTCTTAGGATGATTGATGAAGATATAATTTTATTCTTCACAGTTTCCTTCCCGATAAACATAATTGAGTAATGATAAAAATGATCTAATGATAAAATAATTAATAGGACACTAGTAATTCAGTTTAACGTAATGTTCTTTTTTTTTTATCGA